TGTTTAGTAAATAGTTTTTTTTTTTTTTTTTCCATTTATATTGTTGGGGAGGGAAACACAACATAAAAATTACCATCTTAACCATTATTTTTAAGTACACGGTTTGGTAGTATAAAGTACATTCACATGGTTGTATACCTGATCTCTAGAACCTTTTCATTTTTCAAAACTAAAACTTTATATTCATTAAACACTAATTCTTCCTCCCCCCTCTCCCCAGCCCTTGGCAACTACCTTCTATTTCTATTATTTTGATCACTTTAGATAACCTCATATAAGTGGAATCTTACAGTATTTGTCCTTTTGTAACTAGCTTATTTTACTTAGCATAACGTCCTTAAGGTTCATCCATGTCGTAGCATGTGACAAGGCTTTCTTTTTAAAGGCTGTGTAATATTCCCTTCTGTGTATACACCACATTTTCTTTGTCCATTCCTCTGTTGCTGGACACTTGGGTGGCTTCCACCTTTTGGCTACTGTGAATAGGGCTGCCATGAATATGGGTGTACAGATGTTAGAGTTCCTGCATGTAATACTTTTTCTCAATACATTCCAGAGGTAAAATTGCTAGATCATATGGTAATTCTATGTTTAATTTGTTGGGGGGATCACCGTATCATTTTCCACAGTGGCTGTGGCTGCCCCATTTTACACTCTTTTTTTTCTTATATAATTTCATATTTAAAGTTATAAGACTAACATGGAGTCCCGATATGCCCTTTAATCAAATTCACCAACTGCTTACATTTGCTTTATCACTTTCTCCCTCTCCAGCAACATACATGTGCATGCACACACACATTGTGGGTGCATGTAATTATTGAACTGTTGGGAGTACGTTGGAGACACAGTGTCCCTTTGCCGCTAAATATTTCACTGCATTTCCCAAGAACATGGACAGTCTCTCACACAACCATCGTTATGATTATCAAAATCAAGATATTTGACATTGATGCAATAGTCGTGCTACTTTATAAATCAGAAAATCAATCAAAAACAATTGGGATAGGCCGGGCGCGGTGGCTCACGCCTGTAATCCTAGCTCTCTGGGAGGCTGAGGCAGGCGGATTGTTTGAGCTCAGGAGTTCGAGGTTGCTGTGAGAGTTCAACAATATAAAAGATAAATAACCCAATTAAAAAATGGACGCTGGGCTGGGTGCGGTGGTTCACACCTGTAATCCCAGTACTTGGGGGGGCTGGGTGGGAGGATCGTTTGAAAATCTAGGCGTTTGAGGCAAGCCTGAGTAACATAATGAGACCCCCATTTCTTCAAAATATATAAAAAATTAGCTGGTCACGGTGGCGTGTGCCTGTAGTCCCAGCTACACAGGAGGATCGCTTAAGCTGAGGAATTTGAAGCTGCGGCGAGCTGTGCTGTTGCCACTGTATTATAGCTAGCCTCGACCTCGTCTCCAAAAAAAAAGAACAAAGGGCGATGATGGATTTGAGTGGAAATCTCAAATGGCCAATTAGCACAGGAAAAGATGCTCAACATCATTAGTTCTACTCCTCCCAGTAGCAGATTTTATTTCATCTTCTCATCCTTCTCCTTTTTTCCTCCTTCCTGAAAGCAGTAGTTTGTTCTTGCTTAAGTAGTATCATTAGTAGTAGTATAATTTTTTAAATGTATCTGCCTTTCTTAAGTTGTAGATGGTTTTCTTAGAGGGCATTCATGGTTAAGAGTGGGATGAGAGAGCAACTGATAGAGAATTGGAAGGATGTAGAAAGTGTAGGTCCTTCCTTGTCTGCCAAGTATCACCTGCAGCCAGACAGGAGAAGCTGATACCAGACATAGAAGCTTCTAGTTCCTTCTTTTTCTTCTTAGTACCTAGCATAGTGCTATGCTATAGCGAGCAAGCTGTCATTAAATCAACTATTACAACAGAGACTAGAGCTGGTGTAGCACTTGCTGGATTTGGGTAATGACAGCCACATCCTTCATAATTAGTACCCACTTGATGCTTAACTGTTTCAGAGTGATGGAAATGAGAACATACTCTCTTACACGCCTGTCATGTGCACATGTCTGGTATCACAAAAGTTCTTACATAGAAGCTGATTTTGAAGTGCACTTAAAGACATTTATGTTCAGAAGATCGGTAGTAAACATACCTCAAAAACTGAGGCAAACCTCATATCTTTATGCTGGGGAGAGCAAGGTAAGAAAGGCATTCATAGCCTGCTGTATAACTTTTCTGGAATGCAGGTTGGCAATGTATATAAGCAGCCCTAATGTTCATACCCTCTGGCCCTGACCTAAGTAGATTGTCAACAATGAATATATTCAACACTGTAGTTATGAATATATTAACACAAGTAGCTAAATAGAATTTAGTGTGCTATCATGATGGAATACTGTGGAGTGGTTTTTTAGAGTTTTAAACAGCTCTTAATAATGTAATGGAAAATGTATAAGACATTAATCAGAAAATAAAGTAAAATTAATTAGAAAGTATAATCTCAATCAAATGTAAATGCACAAGGAAAAGACTGGAAGACACTATACCAAATTGTAGGGAGGGATTTTGTGGTGGCCTTATGGGCCATGCTTTTTTTTTTTTTTTTTTTTTTCCATTTATATTGTTGGGGA